TTGCGTACTACAGCCTATGACAGAAAATTGTCTGTGCAGTTCCACGTCTTCGTATAGCCACCATAAAACGGTACCCCCCGATATTCAGTATTTTGATGATTTTAGCGACATTATTCACCGGAATTGTTTCAAATTTGGTATTTGAAGTTCGTAATGGATACTACAGCCAAAAACAGAAAATTGTTTGTGCAGGTCTACGTCTTCGTATAGCCCCAGTACCTCCCTATATTCGGAATTTTGATGATTTTAGCTACATTATTCACCGGAATTGTTTCAAATTTGGTATTTGAAGTTCGTAATGGATACTACAGCCAAAAACAGAAAATTGTCTGTGCAGGTCTACGTCTTCGTATATCCCCAGTACCTCCCTATATTCGGAATTTTGATGATTTTAGCTACATTATTCACCGATTATTTATTCATGTTTCGCTTTTGAATATTGTAATGGTTTATGACAAAAGTTGCCTATGCAGGTCCACGTCGTCGTACAAACCCTAATATAAGGCTACATTCGGTATTTTTAAGATTTGAACAGAATTTTTAACGGATTTCATTTTTTTTTTTTTTTTTTTTTTTTTGAAAATTGCCAAATTCGTTTTCAAAAATCGGCCCGGCCGAACACACAGCTTTTTTTAAGAACTGTCGAGTCATTTTTTTTTATATTGCCTTTGTCCTTTTTTTATTTATTTATTTATTTTTTTTTTTTTGCCTTTGGTACTGCACTCGAACTCAAAACCTTGGATTTTGTAAAAATACTGGGTTTCTTCGTTGATTTTTACGTCGTTACGGCTGCCCAAACTTGTTTTGGAACCCCATCTATAAGTAGTGAAATGCGGGGAAGTATATGAGGTTGGAAATAAGGTTTATGTGTGAGCATCGTCGCACAAGGCCTATTCCAAAATTTTGAATTATATCGTTGGTATTCAAAGAATCCCAGACCACAAGCACTTTCGTCGAAAAATATTGATTTAATGCTCTTTGGGATATTCATTGACTGTATATTCTATTTAAAATTTTGCACAATATTGCAATAACAAAAACTTTCCACAATATGTTCTGAATAATTCTTCCATTTTTAGTTTTTTTTTTTAATAATTTCATATGAAATTCAAGTTTTATTCTTAGATTTTGCATACTGATACGTGACTTTCACTTTTTTTCTATGAATATAACATGAATAGTGAGTTTCAATATTTCTGTTAAAAAAAACCCAAAATCTATAAAACACAAGACAAACTAGAATAGTGTATTATTCAATATAAAAAAGTGAAATTGATTTAGACATAAAAGATTCGTCGAACAGGTCAAAATAAACCACAAATAAATTTGAATAGTTTTGGTTGGAAAACAATTAAAAATTGATTAGTAAATATATAAACATTTAACCTGTTTTAGTTCTAATAAATGTGATATTGACTCTTATCACATTCGTTAAAACTAAAATGGTTAAAACTAATGGAAAAAAATAAAAAACAAATATTATATTTAGCAGGATCGAAGCAAATGTACCCCCTACACTTTATTACTGTTAAAAACTTAAATAACAGTTAGCTAAAGAAACACATTTGCCGAGATTCGGTGGTCGAATATAAGCACGATTAGCAATAAATTACAATTGGGCAAATTTAAATTTTATTTCATTTGCTTGAATATATTGACCTTAACATAATTTTGAAAATATTCTGTGTTTGTCCAAACGGAGACAGAGACACAGACAACCGCTTAGCAATAATAAAACTTCGTAACAGACCAAAATGGGGTCAGTGACAAGTTGTTGAGGCTACAAATCAAAAGAACCAGCTTGACCTATCAATATGCGGTCGTAATCATCATAATGTGTTAAGAATAACATTTCATTCCGTTCATTCAAATGAGTTCAGATATAAATAAAGTAATATTTTCATATAAAAATAACTATTTCACAATAAAATAAGATATTTCAATAATAAAAAAAACTATTTCTTGGTATAATATCTACTTGAATAAAAATGCGTGTATCTCCTTAATCTCTGAGACAAAACCAATAGAACCTCATCTTCAAGGACCACATTTTTAGCGTTTTAGCGCGGGATCTGATCTATACATACGAAAAAGTTAAATATTTCAAAAAATTGCCAATAACGATAATAAAGGGTGATATAATTTTTACATTTTGTTAAAAAAATTTATTGAATGAAAGCAAAAAATGTCGGAAATAGCATCAAATTTTAGAATAAGTTTAGATTTGTTCGAATTGGTCACCTTTGACACGACTTATGGCCTTCAAGCGGCCAATGAAACCATCACACGCTCTGCGGTATTTTGGCCCATTCCTGGCGAAGCGCTTGCTTCAGGTGATCGACACTTTGGTATTTTTAGTGCCAACCTTACTTTCCAAAATACTCTAGACACAATAGTCCAATGGATTGGTATCAGGAGATTTTGGTGGCTATTGTGCGCTGGAAATGAATTAAGGTACCTCATCTTGTAACCATTCTTGGGAGGCGCGTGCTGAGTCCGAGGTCTGCGGCCAAAATGTTTGAGTGCTCAATGCTTTAATACACCTTCCAGAGTATTTTCGCGATAATATTCGACATTTATTCTGATGACACGGTCGATTAATACGCTGACCTCTTTGGCAATTAAACACGATCATGTTGTTTGTTTACAAAATGCTGGACAACACACATCGGAAAAACCTAATTCGGCAGCGAAGCAACTCTTTAGCTCTTTGAGTCTATTTTCTTTCTGTTGTGGTGTAAGTTTTTGCACTTTTGGAACTTCAGTGAATTTACCCCGAGTTCATTTTTCAATATTTGTCAAATGGAATATTGTAATACGTTCAGCTCACGAGCAATTTTTCGGCCACTGCGAGGCGGGTTTCGACCAAGTCGCTTCTTTACTTTTCGAACCATTTCTGCTAATGTTGCTCACATTTAAATGCTGGAGTGCTCTAACGATAGCCACTTGTGGTTTTCCAGCCAAATATAAGGAAATCACGCTTGAATTCCATCACGAATAACTATTTTTCTGGAAAATTTTCACCAAAATGCTTTTGTACGCTTGTAAACAATATAATGAGCTGTCACTGGAATAATTTTAACAGCCGTCAGACGAGTGGCTTAGAAATGAGAGCAGTCTGAAGTTGGTTGCAGTTTTTCATCTCACCCTGTATACGTAGGTTAATTATTAAATAATTAGGTCAATTAACCATTTTCTAGAGCATATCAACTTTTTTTCTTGAAGGGTTCTTGAGGTCCAAATAGCAATAAAAATTTATAAAATCCTACATTTTTTTCTGGTTTTTGTCTACAGTTACGAGACCGATGAAAATTCAGGCAAATGACCAATTACAAGCCAGTAAAGAAGGGCTTAAAATCGGGCGGGGCCGACTCTCGATAAAATTTGGCAAATGTATTTCTGAGCTGTATTCGATATATTTCCCCGAATATGACAACAAATACAACAAATAGGATTAAAAATAGATATGAGAGCTATAGTTACTGCCGAATAGTTGTTTTTTTTTCTTAAACCCTAACCTCATGCAAAATTCCTTTTCGATTTGCTTTTAATTGTGACCTGTAGAGGCACTACAAGATCAGGAAAGTTTTAATATTTGGTCCATTTGAACCCCTACATATACATCTTGTAAAACAATAGCCTTTAATTCTAAGCCTAACTCTCACCCTATGCAAAATTTCTTGAGAATCGGACGATTATTGCTATTTTGTACGAAACAAAATTGTTAGTCAAATATGAAAAAATCGCACGCGATACAAATTTTGAAAAAAAATATTCACTTTTTTATTGGCATATTTTCACGCGATTTTCTTTAAAAAATATTCGCGTGAACATTTTCGTATTTTGTACATAAAACAAAATGGTGGTCTCCGCGTTGGTGTATAATATAGCGACCTGTAGAGCCTTGTCCTTAACTCTAACATCATGCAAAATTTTTAGTTTTTGTTCCACTAAAATTGTGCGATAATTTGCAAAAGCATTGGACTTAAATTCTGACCTTAACCCCACTCTAATAAAATGTTATGGTCAATTTTACCCGCTAAATATTGTTGTATCACCAAACAAAATAGTAGGCTTTTTCCCAGCATCAAACTCTAATTATATGCTAAATTGATCTATAATTGCGACCTGTAGAGCAACTGCAAAATTCCAAATTTATTCTGGTTTTGCTCAATATAAACCTTTAACTACTTTGCGATCATCAATAGACTTCTATTCTGACCATAACCCCAGCCTCATGCAAAATTTCGTGAGGATCGGCCTTTAGCGTGATTACAAATTAACTTCGAATCACGGACAGACGGACGGACACTCATATATAGATCGACTCACCTCTGCGAAACAGGAAGATCCATATACAAAATCTATATGCAGGATCAATTTTTCCTAGATGTTTCATAATTGTTGGCCCAATCAAATTTATGATGCACCCAACATGCAGTGTTGTAGTCTAATTTTAATTTCAATGAGATTCATTCTGAATTCCATTTTGGGTATACAAAAAGATAGTGGGCGCTATATGTTCGTCCAAATATTTCGAGATTTGAACTAATTATGAGTAACTTTCCCTTTTTATCCGTAAGACAAAGGATACCGAGGAAAATTATCTCACACTAATTGAAATCGGATATTCTTGTCATTGAGTATAAAATGTGTCCATATATTCTATATAAAAACATAAGCATCTATTTTTTAAAAGAATAAGCGCATTTTTGTGCTGCGTTATATGTGAAGCAACCATGAATGGCATCAAAAGATAAAGCTCACCGATAATACCTCATTGTGTTATCCACGCTAGCGTCGCTTTTGCAATAACAAAACAATGAAACCTATTCCGGCACGTGAAACAATCGGCGATTCATAATTTTAGCCAAAATAGTTGATCAACTAGCTTTTTCTTAATTATATCTAACGTCTGGATTATAACAATATATAATAGAGAATTTATGTTAAACCTGTATGCGACAAAGAAAACCAAATCAAATCGAGAGAAATGCAAAATATAATGCAAATTTTATGTTGTTTTGTGGCAATGTTGAAGCGCAACTGGACGATGTCGTATGTCGTTCCAATTTGAATGGAAAAATAAAAATCCCAAGTGTATATATAAAACTGAAGTCATTTTAAAGTTAGCATCATTCTGTCCATCGGTTATAGTGAGTAGCATTTTGAAAAGTAAACAGAAAAACGAAAAAACGAATACAAAACAGAAATGCGAATTTTTGTCATTCTATGCCTGGTGGCATGCGCATACGCCCAATCGGGCTATGTCTACGAAATTGCCAATGCAGCCGCAGGAAAACTCGAAATTGTCAGTAGCATAACTAAAGGCGGCAGCAAAAAAGCATCGACTTATGGAGCCTTTGGTGGCAATGTTAAAAGTTTTAGTGAACCAATCATTCTGGAAGAAGCTACTTCTAATACAGTTTCATCTTTTGAAACTACAAATTCAGTGGTAGACAACGATTCCGATGAAGGCAGTGATGGAAGTGCAGTGGTAATTGGTGACAATGAAAGCAGTGCTGACAGTTCCGGAAGTGAAAGCGTAGTTGTTAGTATCAATTCGAATTCCGGAAGCCTTGGAGGTAGTTTCGGCGGCAGTACTGGCAGTGATATTGTCAACAGTGCCAGTGGTACGGAAGACGTCAGCAAGGACAGCAGCAGTACCGAGGACGACACTGGAGCTTCTGGTTCGGTCTCTAGTTTTGTTGTGGTTGGTGGTGGCAGTAACGGTGCCGATAGCGATGTTGTAAGCAGCGCCAGTAGCGTGGGAAGTGATAGCGAACTATCTACTTTGACCTCCGAATCCAGTGTTAGTGGCAGCAGCGGTGATACTGATGGTTCCAATCTAAGCAGTGCCACAAACACCCTTAAGGATAGTGGCATTTCTAGTTTGGTTTCTATTGTAACTGGAGCTGGTATTGGCAGCACCAACACAGATAATGATGCTGTAAGCGGCGCTAGCAGTACTGGAAAAGATGCAGATGTATCTGGTATAGTGTCTGAAATGACGGAAGGCACTATTAGTTCTGGCAGTGAAATTGTAAGCAGTGTTGCAGCAAGTGACAGTGGAGCTTCGAATACGGACACTTTCAGCCTTACATCAACAATTGAAGGCAGTGCTAGTAATGACATTGTAAGTAGTGCCAGCAATACCGGAAACGATAAGGAAGTATTGGGTTCCGACTCTAGTTCTGGTATTGCTGCAGCTACAATTGAAGCAGCTGCTGATGATGCCGGAAAAGATAGTGGAATTGTAACCTTGGTGTCCGATTCTGTTATGTCTACACCATCGGCTGCATCGTTGACTTCCAATGCTGGCTCTACAATTGAAATCCTTAGCTCAGAACCTAGCTTAAGCAGTTCTAAGTCTGACAATACCTTGGTCGGATCCTCAGCTCTGGCTGATGCCAGCTTTGGCTCAAGTTCAGATTCATCATTCAGTGTCTCCAGCTCAGCAGCACCAGCTGCCAGTGAAACTAGTTCGACCGTTTCAAGTACAGCACCTGCTTCTGAATCTGCTACAGCTAGTGAATCTATTTCGGAGCTTTCTACCGTAGGATCCAGTTTCATAGTTCCAGCAACCAGCTCTGGACCCATTTCTAACTCTGAATCCTTCAGTTATTCCAGCTCACCCCTCTCTGCTGTTGGATCCAGTTTCATTGTTCCAGCTATCAGCTCTAGTGTCATTTCAGCTAGTTCTGAACCTGCAATCAGCTCCGCTAGTTCATCTCTCTCTACTGATGAGTCCAGTTCCAGTTCCAGCAGCACCGACTTGATTGGTGCTAGCATAGATAGCTATGCTAAGATAGATAGCTTAGAATCTAGTACCAGTGGTTCTAGTACAGATTCTAACTTGGTTGGATCGAGTTCTGCCCCTGTTTCGTCTGGCGTCAGTTTTGGATCTAATTTGGTTATTTCCAGCTCAGAACCCGTTTCAACTACATCGAGCTCAGATTCAACATCGAGTACCTCCAGCTCAGCTCCCACCTTAACCACATCCAGCTCGGAATCCTCATTCAGTGCGTCTAGTTCATCGCCTGCTGTCAGTGGATCTAGTTTCACTGTTTCCAGCTCTTCACCAGAATTGAGCGGCTCTAACACAAGTCCAGCCATTACCACTACCAATCCAGAGTCCTCATTCGACACATCCAGTTCATTGCCTGTTTCAAGCGGAGCTACTATTACCCTTTCTAGCTCATCGCCAGATTTCGGAGCCTCTAATACAAGTCCTTCCTTGACCACATCCAGCTCGGATTCCTCTACAAGCGGAGCTAGTTTCACCTTATCTAGCTCATCGCCAACTTTCGGTGCTTCCAACACAAGCCCAACCTTTACTACATCAACGTCAGAGTCCTCATCCAGCACTTCCAATTCATCGCCCAGCAACAGCGATGCTAGCTTCACTCTATCAAGCTCTTCGCCCGAATTTAGTACCTCTAATACAAGTCCAAGCGTTATTACCTCCAGCACGGATTCCTCATTCAGCTCGGACAGTTCATCGCCAGCTACAAGTGGAGCTAGTTTCACCATTTCCAGCTCATCGCCAGCTTTTGGTGCTTTAAATGCAAGTCCTACCCTAACCACTTCCAGCTCCGATTCGGCATTCAGTTCAACATCCAGCTCATCGCCTACAACAAGCGGAGCTAGTTTCACCATTTCCAGCTCATCGCCAGCATTCGGTGCTTCTACTGCCAGTCCTTCCTTAACCAGTTCCAGTTCAGATTCCACTTTCAGCTCAACATCCAGCTCATCGCCAGCTCTAACCAGTTCCAGCTCCGATTCGACTTTCAGTTCAACATCGAGCTCATCGCCAGCTACAAGCGGAGATAATTTCACCATTTCCAGTTCTTCACCAGCTTTTGTTGCTTCTAATGCAAGTCCTACCTTAACAACTTCCGATTCCACTTTCAGCTCAACATCCAGCTCATCGCCAGCAACAAGTGGAGCTAGTTTCACAACTTCCAGCTCATCGCCAGCTTTCGGTGCCTCTAATGCCAGTCCTACCCTAACAACTTCCAGTTCCGACTCGACTTTCAGTTCAACATCCAGTTCATCGCCAGCTACAAGCGGAACTAGTTTCACCATTTCCAGCTCATCACCAACGTTCGGTAGCTCTTACACTGCACCTAGCTTAACACCCTCATCATTCAGTTCTACCAGCTCATCACCAGCTGCTTTCAGCGATTCCAGTTCAGGTAGCTTTAGCTCTGGTTCTAATTTGGTTATATCCAGTTTAGCACCTGGCGCCAGCACCTCAAACAGTGGCACCTCGTTTAGTGTCACTAGTGCATCACCAGTTACCAGCGGTGCCAGTTTCACTGTTTCAAGTACAGCTCCATCTGGCTCCGATTCCGCCACTAAGTTTGATAGCTTCAGCACGGGATCCAATGTCCTCGTTTCCAGTTCCAATCCTACTTTGAGCAAAAGTTCTTCTGAATCTGTATACACCAGCTCAAGCTCATCTCCAGCTACTGGCAGCTCCACGTTTACCCTCTCGAGCTCAACACCCTCCTTTAGTGTTTCCAGCTCAGGCAATACTTTTGGCAGTTCCAGTTCCGGCTCTAATTACGCGTCTACAGACTCTGGTGTTACTTCGGGCAGTTCCAATTATAATTCCGATTCATTGGTTTCCGCTTCAAAACCTAGTTTCGGTGCATCGACAACATCTGAATCGACTACATTCAGTGCTTCAAGCTCACCCGTTGGATCCGGTTTCAATGTTCCGACATCCAGTACAAGTGACTCTTATGGCATTTCTAACGCTGATTCCGCACTTAGTGCCTCAAGCACACTCCTTTCGAGCTTTATCGTCCCAGGTCACAGCAGCTCCAGCAATACTTTTGACAGTTCTAAATCTAGCTCCAACCTGAGTGGTTCAAGTTCAGGCTCTACCCTCGGTAGTTTAACATCAAGCTCATCTTATGGGTCGATCGGCTCTGGTTCATCCAATGCCTCGCCTACATCTGCTGGTTTTGGATCTTTCAGTTCAGGCTCATCTTTGGCTGCTTCCAGCTCTGGTTCTTCATTTGGTAATTCCGGTTCTGGTTCTACATTTGGTACTTCCGGTACTGGTTCTACATTCGGAACATCCGGATCTGGCTCCTCATTGGGTACTTTCGGATCTGGTTCCTCATTTGGTACTTCTGCCTCTGGTTCTTCATTTGGAACATCCGGTTCTGGTTCCTCATTTGGTTCTTCCAGCTCTGGTTCCTCTTTAGGCAATTTCGGGTCTGGTTCCTCATTTGGTACTTCTGGCTCTGGTTCTTCGTTTGGTACTTCCGGCTCTGCTTCATCATTTGGTACTTCCGACTATGGATCTTCCTTGGGTGCTTTTGGCTCTGGTTCCTCTTCTGGTACTTCTGGCTCTGGTTCGTCATTTGGCACTTCCGGGTCTGGATCCTCATTGGGTAATTTCGGATCTGGTTCCTCTTTTGGTACTTCTGGTTCTGGCTCCTCTTTTGGAACATCTGGTTCGAACTCGTATTCTGTTGGTTCCGGTGCAAGCCCCAACTTTGGTTCCAGCTTCGGCTCCAGTTTCGGTGCTTCTAGCTCAAGCTCTAATTATGGTTCTTCCAGCTATAATTCTGCTTACGGTTCTGTTGGTGCTGCATCTAATGTTGCCCCTGGCCAACGTCAACTGGTTAAGGAATTCTATACCTTCACAGCCGATGAACAAGACTTCTATCAACCTTCGGACTCCAGTCAATTGCTTGATAATCTCCAGCAAAACTTGCGTGTTGTCTTCATCAAGGCTCCCGAAAATACCGGCTTAGAAGATGCCGTTCTTAAGGTAGCCAAGCAAATGGCCGAACACAAGACTGCAATTTATGTCTTAACCAAAGAAAATGATCTCTCCGAACTGGCCAACAAATTGAATCTTGAAAATGAGAATCTCCGTCATAAGCCAGATGTACACTTTGTCAAGTATCGCACTCCCGAAGATGCTGTCATTGCTCAACGGGCTATTCAAGCTGAATATGATGCTGCAGTTGGTGGACAGTCGTTGCATTTCGATGGCGGCATTGCCAAAGCATTAGATTTTGCAAACGTAGCAGCAAATCTAAAGCATAATAACCAACAGGAAGCTAGTGCAGCTACAGAATCAACTTATTTGCCAGCTTCGGCTAAGCGACATTAGCCACAGTTGGTGGAATTTGATTTACATTCTCGATTGGTTTCTATTATTTATTATTAGTTGTTTATATATGTCGAATAAATGTTATTGAAATGTGTTATAAAAACGTTTGTTTGCTTGTTCCACATTAGCATTAGGCAAGCTTGCTTGCTGCAAGTCTCTGTTTGTAGAACAGACACAATACAATTACCAATTAATTCATGTGAAGTAGATCATGCCAATCTTGATACAAAGAAGACGATGTAGGATAAGTCAGAGAAAGTTTCCAGTGTGATTGTAACACCAATAAATAAAACATTTTTGAATAACTAAACAAATAACCAGGAAACCGAATGAAATGCCAAAATTTCTGTTCATAATCTTATTGTAGACTCAGCCATATGGCTACCGAGGGTATATATCATTTGACACAACCAAAATGTGCCTTATCGAAAAACGGTTTTAGACCCTATTTCTCTTTGTACCAAAACCGTTACAGGTCATTTGTCTGTCTGGCTGGCTAGTACGTATGATAACTCCCGGATCCGATTTGGTCTCAACTTGGTATATCGTAATATTATTGTCGGTCCTCTCACAAAAAATCAAAAATGTCAAAAAAAAAAATAATAATAATAAAGGCAGGCAGTGAATACCTAGGTTTCGATAAGAGCCACCACTCCTCATAAGTTCCTTGTATTGGTCGGGGATATTCACTTGTTTTACTCAAGTGATGAGATCGTAAGCTCAATAGAAAAATCAGATTAAACTAATATTATTTGGCTTGAAAACCACAAGTGGCTATCGTTAGAGCACTCCAGCATTTAAGTGTGAATAAATCTTTTGTGTCTCGTACGTAGCAACATCAGAAAAAATGGTTCGAAAAGTAAAGAAGCGACTTGATCCAAACGCGCGTCGTAGTGGCCGAAAAATGGCACGTGAGCTGAACATATCGCAATATTCCATTCGGCATATATTGAAAAATGAGCTCCAAAAAGTGCAAGAACTTACACCGCTTGGCCGAAAGTGGTGAACTGCCGAATTTGGTTTTATCCGATGAGAAAACATTCGTTGTCAAGCAAAACAAACAAAATTGTCATGTTTACTTGCCAAAGAGGTCAGCTGAAAATGTGCACCTTCGGTTGGCCACCAGAAATCAAGCGCCGGCCATGTTGATGGTGTGGGCCGCCATAGCAGCCGATGGTCGCTCTCTGCTCGTATTAATTGACCGTGGCGTCAGAATTAATGCCGAATATTATCGAGAAAATATTCTGGAGCAGATAATAAATCCTTGGACACGCAAACATTTTGGGCGCAGACCTTGGACATTTCAACAGGACTCAGCATGCGCCACCCAAAAATGGTTAAAAACAGAGGTTTCTCGTTTCATTTTCAGCACACAATGGCCACCAAAATCTCCGGATACCAATCCGTTGGACTATTGTGTCGGAGTATTTTGGAAAGTAAGGTTGGCACTAAAAATACCAAAGTGTCGATCACCTCAAGCAAGTGCTTGGCCGGGAATGGGCCAAAATACCGCAGAACAACTTTCGGGCAGCGTGTGATGGTTTCATTGGCCGTTTGAAGGCCATAATTCGTGCCGAAGGTGACCAATTCGAACAAATCTAAATTTATTCTAAGATTTGATGTTGTTTCCGACATTTTTTGCTTTCACTCAATAAAATTTAAAAATATATAAAAATAATGGTGTTTGGCTTTCTTGCAGTTTTTTTTATCTCGCCCTGTATATATCCGTGAAATCGGACATGCTTTGAATTGAAGAAATGAATGTGGAAGGCATGTGATTTCAACAAGTCGACGCCACCAGTCATATAGCTCGAGAAATAATTGCTGCATCAGTCATTTCCGGTGGTATTATTTCGTGAGTTCGTGCGATTTAACATGATTTTTTTCAGTTTTATGAAGTCGATGTTTGTAGCGAATAAGCCGACGATGATTCAAGCCTTAAAAGAGGAAACTGAACGCCGCTTTAATGACATACGGCAGCATTTATGCAGAACGGTCATTGAAATTTTAATTAAAAGATGGAGTGTGTACCCGAAAAGCCGCAGCGGCCATCTGCACGAAACAAGAAACAATAGGTAGCCTCAATCTGTATACTTTACGATATAATAAAGATTCACAATTTTGTTACATATCTGTGTTTTGTTTAAGGTTTAAAAATTGCGTTCTAGTTGGGATGCACTTTAGGTCAATGTTTCGTAGTAGCGCCTATATAAACTTACGTCCTGATATTTCAAGTGCCTTGATCACATTTTTCAATCGATTTAGCTAATAAAAGTATATATGGGCTACTTGATACAAATGATTCTACAGGTAAGCCATAGGCCTACATCAAATTTGAAAGTTACATCTTACGTTTTGCGAAGTACTGACAAAAGTATTTGAGCTTAAGACCTAAAGAAGTTTGGCCTGAGAACACAAACTCTTTTTGAGATATTGATCTACTAACTAAATACTATCACTTCCATTTCAATGGGTTTCGTCCTTGGGCCAAACAACTAATATTTCGTATCAAACGTGTTTTTGCAAGCAAAGTACAGTTCACATTTCAATACAATACAATAAATTAAATTCGGAAGCCTGAATGGTATCTCAGTTATATCGTTTATTTAATTATATCGTGTGGGATGCACGCCATCCCCACGGATTCCTTTGGCGGTTTCAGTTCAAAATGGAGCTTGTTTAAATATTGAATGTCGATGCTTTATTTACTTAGCAATACAAAAATAACAACAACAATAATGATATTACTTGCAATATAGTTTACAAACGGAACAGACGAAATACAGAAGCTGGTAGATAAGTTGAGCCAACATTATCCATTGCAACAATCATTGATTCCTTACCAACAGCAGAGTGAGTTGCTGGAACGGCTTGAACCACTGCAGCTTGAGAAGCAAAGTTTAAAGATGGCGCGACACCACCGTTAAAATGTTGTGTTGGACCACCCAATGCTTCATATTCGGCTTGGATAGCATGCTGAGCATGAACAGCATCTTCGGCAGTACGATATTTTACAAAGTGGACTTCAGGTTTGTGATTGGCATTATCATTGACGGTACTCAATTTATTGCCCAATTCCGAGAGATCTGTTTGTTTGGTAAGTACATAGATGTCGGTCTTTTGATTGGCGGATTGTTGGGCCAAACCAACGATGGCATTTTCTAGACCAGCGTTTTCGGGACCCTTTATGAAAATAACACGAATTCCTTTGTTGACAGTGTTTTCAAATTGATTGGTGGCAGCAGGTTGGGCAAAATCTTCTTCATCGGCAGTAAAAGTGTAGAATTCTTTTTCGATGCCACCACTAACCAAGGGTGCTGAATTCGAAGCGGATTCATAATTGCCTTGAGATAATGTGAAATCAGAGGTTTCAGCAGAGCTACCAGCCACAATAGATGGACCGGATACTTGTTGTGTTTGATCAAAAGAAGTTCCGAAGCTGCCAGCATTGACAGCATTGACAGCTGCATTGTTTCCAAAACTGCCAGCCCCAGCGGGCGAACCAAATCCTGTATCCAGTTTAACATTGGAACCTTGTACACCAATAGAGTATGAGGAATCCGTGTTGGTGGCAGCTTCCACTCCACCTGGTGGTATATAGCTACGATCTACTGGATGATAATCGGGACCCAAATGATCAGCCCACGCCATGGCCATAAGGCACGATAGGACAATGAAGGCACGCAGCATTCTATCCCTTTCTTAGTTCTGATACTGGCCTTAGAAGATATTTCGAAATTTGAATGATTCTAAATTGACAGCGAATTTTCTTTTATACATAGGTCGTCCAATATTCTGCCCGAAGACTTATTACCAGTTTGACTAATGACCTGATAAAATATTCATTATTCACATTCTAGCTAAATTTATTTAGGCTTCCTAGCAGAAAAGTGATTGTTTTGACATTGTGTATAGGTTTGTTTAGTTAATCAAATTTATGACTTCATTTTGGCAAACAAATCTTCCTGGCTGCGGTCCGTGGGAAAAAAATATCTACTCTAACAACAATCAATATAGTGTGAGCGGAAATAAATTTCCAAACTGATTAATATTTATTAGATTTTGCAGCAGTACATTATAGGCTATGATTTAAATTGTTATTTTAATGGTATTTTGATATCGCTTGGACTATTTAAATACCATAAAGTAGCTCTTAAGTAGCCTGTACAAAAGCTGTTTAGTATAGATGAGATTGTCTAGTATTCTGTTCACCGAAAGTTATAAAATGCATTCGATAATATTAATTGGAAATTAAATGTAGTTTTCAAACTACCGTTCGCCTTAATTAAGTTAACAATGGGAGAAAAGTTACTGGTACCACGCTTAAGCGTTTCATAAACTATTTTCCCGTGTGAAGAAAACGCATTTCGAAGTTTTCCTATCGAATTATTTGCAAATGACAGAAATGCGTTCGTATTTATACCCTACACCACAAGGTGGTCAGGGTATTATGTCTTTGTGCATTTGTTTGTAACAGGCAAAAGGAAACGAGATAGACCCATAGTTCATTTTGATGATCTGCATAGAATCACATTCTGAGTCGATTTATGCATGTCCGTCCGTCCGTCTGTCCGTCCGTCCGTCCGTCCGTCTGTCCATGTATTTTTGTAAACAAAGTACAGGTCGCATTTATTGCCCGATCCAGATGAAATTTTGCACAGATCATTTGTTTGGCCCAAGGACGAACCCTATTGAAATTGGAGATAATCGGTCAAAATTTAGATATAGCTCCCATATATATCTTCGTCCGATTTGCCTTTTATTGTGCACCAAACGTGTAATATCAGCCCAAATTGTATGGAATTTTGCATATACAACCAAATTAGGCCTGAAAATATGTATGCCAAATTTGATCGAAATCGGTTCAGATATAGCTATAGCTCCCATATATATTGTTCATCCGATATTTTATTTTTGTCCACCGCCGCCGTAATATGCACTCTGCAACAACAATATTTAGGGGAATATATCAAATACAGCTCAGAAATACATTTGCAAAATTTTATCGACATTGGTTCAGATTTGGATATAGCTCCCATATATAACTTCGGCCGATTTACCTTTTATTGTGCACCAAACGTCTAATATTTGTCCAAATGGGATGGAATTTGGCACATACGACCGAATTGAGTCTAGAAGCTAGTATGTCAAATTTGGTGAAGATCGGTTCAGATATAGCTATAGCCTCCATATATATTATTCATCCGATTTGTTATATTTGTTACCCACAACCGTAATATGCACTCCGTAACAACGATATTCAGGGAAATATATCAAATACAGCTCAGAAATATCTTTGCCAAATTTTATCGAGATCGGTTCAGATTTGGATATAGCTCCCATATATATATTTATCCGATTTCAAATTAATTGTGCACCAAATGGTCAATACAAGTCCGAATTTAAAAGATACAAATGCTTCGGCATGTTTAGTCCTTTGAACTTTAAATTATAATTATAATCATAGCGTGTATGATTGAATTCTCCCATAAAAACTTTTAATTGTTATGTGGAGCTCTACTAAATTAGCAAAGTGGTGTAGGGTATCATAAAGTCGGCCCCGCCCGACTTTAAGACTTTCTTTACTGGTTTTTATATGTAACTAGCTGAACCCGGTGCGCTTCGCTACCCCTTTTGATTTTATATGCATTCAAAATTTTATTTACGAATATATGTTGGATAAAGAAAAACAAATTTAAAAGTTAAAATATTAAAATATATTGCACTAATTTAATGCGTTAATAAACAAAATCATTACAAAAGCAGTAACATGACATGCATACACGAAGGGTTTGTCCTTTGGATTTATTTATTTCATAGCAAATACCAAGCGTGCAGGAAATTGCAATTTTTTTAAGTAGAGTGGTTTTTCTATTGCAATTAGTGAATTCGAGATAGCAACATACTTCGCCGTAATAAGCGTATTTTAAATAAATTGTTGTGTTGTTTTTTAGTGTTAGCCTAAGGCGTTTTAAAAAAATTACTTTTACACCAAACTCCGCCACACCTTTCATAATTCATTGAAACTGGTGCGTCAAATATGTGAAATCGGCCGAGAATATATATATGGGAGCTATATCCAAATCTTAACTAATTTCCAATTAATTTATCACATTTATTATTATAACCAAATTCCACCACACATTCTGAATTTCATTGGAATCGGTCATATATATCGTGTTTGGTGCATAATATGTATGATATCGGCCGAAATATATATGTTAGCTATATCCAAACCTCAACTGATTTCAATATAATTTGGCAATTTTTGCTGGTGCCAGATTTTGTCTCTCTCGCTTTGGGTGCATCAAATATGTGAAATCGGCTGAGTATATATTTGGGAGCTATAATCACATCTAAGCGTATTTGAATATAATTTGTCAAATTTATTTTTGTACCAAATTTAGCCACTCATAATCAAAATCCCGTTACATATTCCAAATTTCTTTGGAATCGAACATACATATCGTGTATGGTGCATAAAATACATGAAATCGGTCCAAAACATATATGAGAGCTATATCCAAATCTGAACCGATTTTAATATAATTTAACAAATGTATATTTGTTTTAATTTCCGCTACACATTCCAAATTTCATTGAAATTAGAGATACATAGCGTGTTTGGTGCATCAAATACATGAAATCGGTCGAAAATATATATGGGAGCTACATCCAAATCTGAACCGATTTCAATTTAATTTGACAAATTCATTTTGGCTCCCAATTCCGTTACTTATTTTAAATTTCATTAAAATTGGAAATACATGTCGTGTTTGGTCCACCAAATACATGAAATCGGCCGAAAATGTATATGGGAGCTATATCCAAATCTGAACCGATTTCAATATAATTTGGGAAATCAATTTTTTAGATAAAATATATCACACGTTTCAAATTTCATTGAAATTGGGGATACATAGCGTGTTTGGTGCATCAAATACATGAAATCGGTCGAAAATATATATGGGAGCTATATCCAAATCTGAACCGATTTCAATATAATTTGACAAATTTATTTTCGGATTAAATCCCGTCACACATTCCAAATTTCATTGGAATCGAACATTCATATTGTGTTTGAGGCATCAAATGAACGAAATCGGTCGAAAATATATATGTGAGCTATATCCAAATCTGAACCGATTACAATATAATTTGGTAAACTTATTTTTGTTCCAAATTCCGTTACGTATTCCAAATTTGGAGACTGTATCTTCAACCAATCAATAGATATGTGCATATAAAATCTAAATTTTTGGGAGGTACCTCCGATTCTGATGCTATATCTCCAGTTCCAAGTGGAAATTCAAAAATGTATATAGCCTATGTTACTTTCAGGCGATGTTGCAGTATATATGGAAATTTTCAGGAAAATCTATTCAGCGGTTTTCGAGTCCATAAATTACAAACAAACAAACAAACAAACAAACAAACAAACAAACATACAAACATTTTCCTCTTTTATAGATATAGATATTCAAAATATACACAAACACGATTTTTATACCCTACACCACAAGGTGGTCAGGGCATTATGTCTTTGTGCATTTGTTTGTAACAGGCAAAAGGAAACGAGATAGACCCATAGTTCCTTTTGATGATCTGCATAGAATCACATTCTGAGTCGATTTATGCATGTCCCTCCGTCTGTCCGTCCGTCCGTCCGTCTGTCCATGTATTTTTGTAAACAAAGTACAGGTCGCATTTATTGCCCTATCCAGATGAAATTTTGCACAAATCATTTGTTTGGCCCAAGGACGAACCCTATTGAAATTGGAAATAATGGGTTAAAATTTAGATATAGCTCCATATATATCTTCGTCCGATTTGCCTTTTATTGTGCACCAAACGTGTAATATCAGCCCGAATATCATGGAATTTTGCACATACAACCAAATTAGGCCTGCCAAATTTGATCGAAATCGGTTCAGATATAGCTATAGCTCCCATAAATATTGTTTATCCGATTTGTTATTTTTGTCCTCTGCAGCCGTAATATCCACTCTGTAACACACTTTTGACACAGTTGAAAAAATATTTTGTTTTACCTGGAATAAATAAATGTTTACATTATGAAATTTTAGGTTTCTAATCAAATAATAACATTCTGATTTGTGATATTAATATTTATATTATAAGACTTTTAATATGATAACTGGAAACGTCTCCAAATTTAATCTGTTCTTTTCAAAAAGAGCTTGCATATACAGGGTGAGATAAAAAAACTGCAAAAAAGTCAAACTCCATTTTTTTACATTTTTTTTTAATTGACTGAAATGAAAGCAAAAAATGTCGGAAACAGCGGTCAATGAAATCGTCGAATCGAATTTTGCTCTGCGGTATTTTGACCCATTCCTTGCGAAGCGCTTGCTTGAAGTGATCGACACTTTTGTATTTGTTAGTGCCAACCTTGCTTTCCAAAATACTCCAGACACAATAGTCCAACGGATGGTGGCCATTGTGCGCTGGCGTTACTCGCTGATGCGAGTAATCTCATTTTGTAGCCATTCTTGGGTGGCGCGTGCTGTGTGCGATGGTGCTAAGTCCTGTTGGAATATCCAAGGTCTGCAGCCGAAATATTTGCGCGTCCATTGCTTTAATACACACTCCAGAATATTTTCGCGATAATATTCGGCATTTATTCGGATGCCACGTTCGATTAATACGAGGGACCATCGGCTATGGCG